GAGTCATGGAAAAATAAAACACTACAAGTCGTCTTTGTAACCAGGCTGCTCCTCTAGCCCGTCATTTAATTTTGCCCAGCTCAGTGTTCCAACGCACATGGGAGTGGACGGAATTAGAATGCTGTGGGACTTAGGAGAACACATGTACAGTGCTTGGCTGTCATTTAGAGATTTCCTGGTCCTTTCTAAGTCTTTTAGTGTGAAGTCCTGTATTACTTGACCTCCTGCATTGCATATCTTCAAGGAAGACAGAATTCTTGTGTTACAGACCTTTGTAGCCACAATCTTCTGATACATAGATGCTGACTAGATGGATGTGCAGTGCACAGTTATCAATCTGACCAGAACTTTTAACAAGGTTGTTGTGGAACCAGCAAGAGCCAGGTGGACTGGGACAGTGAAATTTGGGGCAATAGCTAATTTGGAGATTATCTTTGATTCTCTAGCCCCAGTTTCCTCCTCTGAAAAGAAAGAGGCATGCCCGATTTACAGTGCTGGGTCGTATTTTAGTGAAGTAACAGAAGCTGCGGGTTACCCAGGTGATAGGTATAGTGAGCTTGGGGAAAGCAGGATTATTTCTGCTTGCTTCTTAAATTCTTCACACCTGGTAGACTACAGATGCTTAGAAGGCTCAGACTTGACAAGGCAGAGCAAGGTCCTCAGAAACCTGGGAGCCGCTCCACGTTTTACAGGCAAGTGAAGACCTGGAGAGACTATTGGAGATGGGAGTTGGGCTGGGGAATTGCTAAGAGAAGAAACTGGCTTCGACATTTGGAGAGATGCAGACATCCTTTGCCCCTTTGTTCTCCAGAGGGCTAGACATGAGGCAGGGGCAATCTTTTGATGAATAAAATAATGATTTATTTATTTATTTATTACTATTTCTTACAGGTATATAATGGGATAGATTCATATACATATCGCCCTATACTACTCACCCCTGACACCTCTTCATTTCCTCTTCCTCTTCTTCTTCCTCCTCCTCTTCTGTGATAACCCAATAAGTGCAATTACCACTCACATGTGCATGGGAACAGGGCCGTCCATTAGAGCATGGGAAACTTACCTGTGCGGTACCCTCCAAGGAGAGTGATTCTCCCTTCTGAGCAGTTAACAATGGCCAATAGCACCCCAGAAAGGTAAAGGGACTGGGATCAGTCCCCCAATCATAATGATGGATGGCTTGATCTTAAATCTGCCTGTGTGGGTAACCATGGTTACTGTGGGTTGCAAATGTGAGAGCCTTGCCATGTCTAGAAGACAGCGTTTCACAGCTCTCCCCCATCTTCCATCTCTTACATTCTCTCCGTCTCCCATTGGTGTGGGAGAATTGTCTGTATTCTGTCAATCGTATTTTAATAAAACGCTGATTGGCCAGGCAGGAAATATAGGCGGGTCAACCAGACAAGAATTAGAGGCCGGGCGATGAGAACAGGAGTATTCCAGGAAGAAGGAAGCCATTCCTCCATTCCTGCCCAGAACACCGAAGAGGCAGGATGTAACCTGTCCAGCTGAGAAAGGTACTGAGCCGTGTGGCTAATGTAGATAAGGATAATGGGGTAACATAAGTTATAAGCGTTAACAAGAAGCCTGACCTAATGGGCCAATCAGTTTATAACCTTATGGAGTCCTGTGTGTGATTTTTCTTTGGGGTTTGCCGGCTGTGGGGTACTGGGCGGGACAGATACCCCAACAAGCCGGCCCCTCATGTTACATCCCATTCTGTGATGCTCCTCAAGCCTGGGTAGGGGTGGAAGTCTGCTAGAGATGTCCCATGCAGGGCTGAGCACCCAGTCACTTCATTCAGTGCCTTGAGCGATTATGTGCCTCTGCGTTGATTTCCGTATGTGCAGTTAGTTATCCTGTGCCAGTTTTGCCACTGTGGCACCCGTGGGTGCCTCCTTCCTGGCAGGTCAGTATTGTAGCCTTCAGCTGCTATTCAGCTGCTATTGAAGCCTTCAGCTTCAGGGGATGCTTCAGCCATCCCCTGCTGCGTGAGAGCAGTAGCGTCTTTTGACCCTCAGCTGTGTGCATCACCAGCGCCGTGAGTCCTAGTGAGCATGGAGGGAGGTTTTCTGCACAGTTTGAGGTTGACTTCTCTGGCCTGCAGTCCTAGAATGTGGTGCGTTCAGCCATAAGGTCTTACCTTGCAGTTCCAGTGGGCATCGAGGGGCATTTACAATATCCTTTTGGAGGCCTTCCTGACCAATAACTTGTAGGGAGGTGCCCCATGCCCCGCACTGCAGTTTTTGTTGAATAACCCATATCCTTTGGAATTGGCCATGTCCACCTCACTTAAGATGCCTCCATTTGAATTCATTTCAAATGTTATTCATATAACTTTTAGAGTTATATTTTGAAATTCGCTTATTAACTAGTGTGTTTTCATAAGACCTTTTCACCAATTAGTTTGTATTAGTGTCTCACGACTTTTATTGCTTGTGAAGAGACAGAGTGACCACAGCAGCTCTTATAAGGAAAACATTTAATTGAGGAGGCTCACTTACAGTTTCGGAGGTTGAAGTCCATTATCATTATGGGGGAGAAGCATGGAGGCATGCAGGCAGACGTAGTGCCTACATCTTGCAGGCAACAGGACGTCGACTGAGACACTAGGCAGTATCCGAAGCATAGGAAACCTCAAAGCCCACCCCCACAGTGACACGCTTTCTTCGACAAGGTCATACTAACTCTGACAAAGCCATCCCCACCTAATAGTGTCACTCCCTATGAGATTATGGGGGCCAATTACATTCCAACTACCACAGTTAGCCTACCCATCCTCCTCTTGTCTCTTTCTGGGTGTGTTACCTCAGTACAAGCTTTCCAGTATCATTGCAGGAGTAATATTCCATTGTGTATTTGCACCACAGTTTTTTTCCTCAGTCATTGGTCGATGGGCAAGTGGTATGATTCTGTTTCCTAGCTATTATGCATAGAGCATGCATGAACATGAGTGTGCACTGGTGTCTGTGGCAGGATATAAGGTTCTTTGAGTTTGTGCCCAGGAGTGGTGTCGCTTGGTCTTTCGATAGTTCTACGTCTAGTTTTTTTTAAACCTCCAGATTTATTTCCAGAGTGGCTGCACTAGGTTACAGCTCCCCAACAGTGCACAAGAATTCCCTTCTGCTGTATCCACACTAGTATTTGTTATTGTTTCCATTATTGATGATGGCAGTATGGCCGTTCTAAGTTGGGAGAGATGAAATCTTAAAGTGGTTTTAATCTGCATTTCCTTGATGGCTAAGCATGTTGAGGCTTAAGGATGTTACTTTTCAAGGTGTTTTTTACACACACGCACGTGCGTGCACACACACACACACACACACACACACTTGAGAATTCTCTGTTCAGTTCATAACCCATCTTAAAAATGATCTTAGTTTATATTAAATTGTGTGTGTTTGTCTGTGTGCAGTATGTGCATGCAAGTGTGTGTGTCTGTGGGTGCAGGTGCCCTCAGAGGCCAGAAGAGGGCGTCAAGTCCTCTGGAGTTGGAATTACTGGTGGTTTTGAACCATGTGGGTATTGGGGACTGAACTAGATCCTCTGTAGGAACAGTTTGCACTCTCAACTGTAACATGAGGGGGGCTGTTTGTTGGGGGTTTTTCTGTCCTGCCTGGCCCCCCAGCTATTTAGTCCCAGAGAAAAATCACACAAAGGACTCCGTAAGTTATAAAGCTGATTGGCCCATTAGGTCAGGCTACTTATTAGCTAACTATCACATCTTGATTAACCCATTTTTCTGATCTATGTGGCTCAGTACCTTTTTCAGTGGGGCAGCTCACATCCTGCTGCTTCCGTGGTCTGGGCATGAGTGCGGGAATCAGCTTCCTCCTCCCTAGAATTCCTCCTGCTCTCCTTGCATCATTTCCACCTCCTGTCTGGGTTTCCCACCTACACCTCCTGCCTGGCCAATCAGCATTTATTTAAAACATGATTGACAGAATACAGATAATTCTCCCACACCACTCAACCGCTGAGCGGACTCTCCAGCTCCCATAGGCCACTTTCAAATTAGCTTCTTTCCTTTCTCTCCCTTCCTTCCTTCCTTCCTTTCTTTTTTCTTTCTCTCTTTTTTTTTCTTTTTTCTTTTTTTTTGTTTTTTGAGATGGTGTTTCTCTGTGTAGCCCTGTCTGTCCTGAAACTCACTCTGTAGACCAGTCTGGCTTCCAACTCACAGAGATCTACATGCCTCTACCTCCTGAGTTTATTAATAAACAGCTGCCAGGAAAATGTCTTAGTTTCCCAAAGTTTAGATTTTTTAGGAGAATTTTTTATATATTCTAGGAACTATAATCCTCTGTCAGATGACTAACAAAGATAGTCTAGGAGTCCGTGAATTCTTGTAGGACCTCCAACCACTAACCAGCACCGACACAATGGCATCCAAGCATGTTGGCTAAGAATGTACTTGAGAAAATTTTAACATTTCCTCCTTTGTTCACTGCTTTCTATTTGCTTGCTTTAAGCTGACACAAAAATTTTTATGCAGTCGGATTTTCACATTCACAAATCCAGTAGGTTTCTACAGATTTGGGGTTACCCAGATTCCCAGTTCCTATTGTCTTCTTTTAAGGGCCTTGTCTCATATCATTAGGTGTGGAACAACTAAATTTGTTTTCCTGGTTTAAAATTGTTTGATTTATTGTTACTTTAAAGTGCATGCATGCATGTGTGTGCGGCGTGTGCATGTGTGTGTGTGCACGTGCGCGCTGTGAGTACAGTACCTCTGCAGGCTGGAAGTGGGTGACAGGTTCCTGGAGCTGGACTTTCAGGCGGATGCCAGCTGCCTGATGTGAGCGCTGGGCCCTAAACTCAGGTCCTCAGCAGGGGCAGCATTCATTCTTGGCCGCTGAGCCGTGTCCAGCTCTGCGTTCCTCGTTCACCATTCGTTTTCTCGTTTGTCCATCTGTGTATATTTTTAAAAGTTTCTGAAGCTCCACACCTGATGGCGTGCTGTTCATGACCAATCTCTTTTCTCCTGCTTCTCATTCCAGATAGAGGAGTTCCGAAGGCTGAGAACACATGTGAAGGGGGCAGAACTTGTAGAAGGCTGCGATGGGATCCTGGGGGACAATTTCCGACCTACCCAGCCCCTGAGTGACAGAGTCATTCGAGCTGCATTTCAGTAGCCAGAGAGACTGTGGTCAAGCCCATCTGCATCGGGGTATGTGAGATTAGACACAGTTACCTTAACCCAGCATTCCAAAGTCACTGTAGACTGACTGCTGGAATACGCTTCATTTGAATACATTTATGCTGCATTCTCATGTCCCTTTAATGGCAATCACCATAATGGCAATGGTGGTCCTTTTCATTTCATGCAGTATTTTCTTTAAAAAGTATTGAACGTCCTTACCCCCACTTTCTGCTTTAATAGTGGCTTTCATAAGGAACAGCGTGTGGGGTGCAGAGGCACAGAGGCACAGTGATGACTTTTGTATTCACTTTCTCATCTCCAGAAGACACAGCATTCACTTCCTGTGATAAGTAACATGAACGGAAGCCTAGAAAAACGAGCCGTCCTATGTATCACCTTGTAGGGTCATCTTGCTCATTGGTATATGGTGGGCTGATCTAGCAGGAGTGAACGTCCTGTGTCCTGTAGGAATGTTTTTATTAGCACATCTTGCTTGTACAGAATAATGGGTTTGTGTGTGACATTTTTACACACATGACATACTTTGGCCATATTACTCCTGTCCCATTACTCTCTTACTTAGAAGTGCTTTTTATTTGCAAAGTCAAGAAACACATGTCAGCTATTTTAATATTGTGCATTATGTGATTATTTATTTATTGTACTTTATGTTGAAGTCAGCATATTTATTACTTAACTTTAGGGAGCTCACAAGCATGGGAAAGATAAAAGTATGCTAAGATTACTACGTATTGGAGTCTTGCTTTACCTTATAAGCCCTCTAAGTGTGCATAGATCAGAGACACTGGATCAGGGAGCTGCTTCCCATAAATGGGGTCTCGCTGGCTAGAGCAGTCTTTGGAGATGCAGGACGTAGCTGGGACTGATGGTGAACTATGTGGGTTGTACCCAGGACTGGGAAGTCACAGCTGAGTGGAGATCTCAGGCCTTGAAGAGCTCTCAGTTTCGTGACCTGGCCACTGTTGATGGAGCTCTCAAAAGGTGACGGTCCTGTCATGTGCTCTTCGGTTTTTCTTGTCTCTGTTCTCCACACAGGAGAGTCTTATTTTCTGCGGTACGCATTGTTTACTCTGCACCGTGCACCCTTACTTTTGCTTACAGACCCCTTAACTGCCTGGGGCTCAGCTCAAACACTGGTTTCAATAGGCATCCTCTGCTTTTCTCTTAAAGCAGACTTCATTTTGTGACCCCCTTTCCATTTGGCTATTTATGTTTCTTATTCTTCTATAATATTTCAGAGTTCTAAGGGCCAAAATTGTTTTGTTTCACTACAAACCCACTGCAACACATCACATGTTCTCCCTGGCTTGGTTTCAGGGTGACTGGAAGTTTCTCAGAACTGCACACACGCAGCAGTCAGACTCAGTTCTTTCTTGGCTAACCAGTGTAGTTCATCTTCTGCTTCCTCTGACTGGAGATGATGAAGGTCCAGCAGATCCACCATTGTTAGGAATGGGAAGAAGTATACAGTGATTTAGACGTTAAAAAGAGAAATTCCGGTGGTATTTTAGGCCAAACTTGAAAATAGATGAGCTGAAGATCTAAAAGTAACTGAGTCCAAAATCACTAATGAGAACATTTTCTGACTGATTGTGGGTGTACTAGGGAAAGACATTTATGGTTTCTGCTCTCATAGATGCCAGAGTCGGAGGTGAGAAGTCTGACAGCAGAGAAATAGTACACAGAATACACAGCTGCAAATGGCAATGCATTATGTGAATGGAAAGAACTAAGGACATACCGAAGGAACTGCTAGGAAAAGAAATATCTTCTGCAAGGACCTCAAGACACTTGCTGTGAAGGAGGGTGCACTGAGGTCCCTGCAGGAGAGCCTGGTACATACAGAGTATAGAAAGTCTAGAAATAAAGGGTGAAGTAGCTAAGACCTGAGTGCAGATGTTTCTAGTCAATCAGTCACACTAAGGTATCTTTACATTATTGTGAACATAGCATGAACCTGCGCAGACTTTGACTAAGGGGACTGACTTTATCCTCTCCCTCCTCTCTCTCTCTTTCTCTCTCTCAAATTTTTTTTTAAAGACAGGGTTTCTCTGTGTAGCTTTGGAACCTGTCCTGGAACTCACTTTGTAGACCAGGCTGACCTCGAACTCAAAGAGATCCACCTGCCTCTGCCTCCCGGGTGCTGGGATTAAAGGCATGTGCCACCACCTTCCGGCCCCATGTCTCATTTTAATAGCACACTCTAGGAAGAAATTGAATAGATTGAATTAAAGTGGACTAGAGCAGGATTAAAAGATAGAAATCTGTTGGGTTGCCATAATGAAAGACATGGAGTCCTGTATCTTAGGTTAGAAGCATTAGTGATGGAGAGTAGGTAATGTATAAGAAATAGAAATTGTAGATGCTATCCAGTGATGGACTGGGTAAGGGAGGTAGGAAATGGAATTGTCAGTTAAATGTTGAGGTTTAGGCCTTGGGAAACCATGGGTAGGATGCCATTGTGTAACAACAAACAAGCTGGAGGAGGTTGTTTTGGGATCAGGAAGACGGAGTTGGAGTTGATGCACATTGGAGTCACTGTAGTGGGCTGGCAGTAAGGTTGCTAAAATTTCAGGGGTAGAGATGCAGTGATACATTGACCAGTGTTCTCATTGCTCAGGAAAACTGTTTTAGCTTAGAGTTTCAAAGAGTTCAGTCCATGGTTCTTCCTCTGTAACTCGAGGTTTTTCTCCCACCTGCCAGTTCCCAAATAACCACTCTGAGGCTTAATATTAATTATAAACTGTTTTGCCTATGTACTCAGGCTTATTATTAACTACCTCTTACAACTTAAATCAACCCATTTCTGTTATTCTATATATTACCATGAGGCTCATGGCTCGTTACCTCACATCTTGCTACCCTAGCAGCTGCTGGCATCTTCCAGACCCTACCTTCTGTCTCCCTGTATCTCTTCTTGGATTTCCTGCCTGGCTCTATTCTGCCTAGCTGTTGGCCAAATCAGCTTCTTTATTAACCAATGGCAATAAAACATATTCAGATCATACAGAGACATCCCACATCACTCCTTTCTTTCTTTTTGGGCAGAACATAATGGTGCTGGAGCCTTGTGATAGAGGACCTTCATGGGAGACAGGAAGCACACATAAGGAAGACTCAGAAAGAGGTCAGGACAGGATCTCTCCCATTCTTCATCAAAGCTATTCTGAATCTGCCGAAGGGTTAATCCATTGGCTAGGTCTGAGCCCCCGAGGTCTAGTTGTCTGCAAACACCTTCACATGCACACCCAGTGGTGAGCTCTCCTCATCTCCTGGGTGTTTCCCAATCCAGTCAAATTGAAAATCATAATTAAGCATCAGAAAATTAGTCTGTGTCAAATATAGAATTATTTGACATAGGGGAAGGATATATAAAGCATTCAAATGTATCAGAGGGATTATTTCTCTGTTTGTGAAATCTTATGTGGGGCTTTACACTGTAGTTAATCAGAAGACAGAAGCGTCAGGCCATTCATTGCCTAAAGCAATCCATTTCTTAGACAGTGAAGCTGAAAAGTTAATGCACACAGCTATAACGGGAGACTCCTTTTCCTTAGCAGCCCCTGGGCTGAATTCAAAGCGGTTTCCACCCTAGTGGTGTGAGCGGCTTAGCAATGGAGCCTGTTACCACAACTGAAGGTAACAGGGGGTCGTGCTGCTGGTCCCACGCCTGGACACTTTTCAAACAGGTGTCTTTAACTTTACAAATGGCTACCCAGTAGTTTCTCCTTTCAGTCCCCTCAGCAGGGAAAGCTACAGCCCTTCCAGCCACTAGCTCCTCCTTGCTTTATGGTTCTCCCTAAAAGAGCTATCCACACGTCAAGTGCACAGCTTAGCAGTAGTCACTGTGGCGTTTTATACAGACACACCTTCTAGATTTATCACAATCAGCTGGGTTGGGTGACTCAGAATGCTTGGATAGACTTTACTTTGAGCACAAGAAATCCCATCATTTGTCTACGTGTATGGCCAAGGAGCAGCACGTGCAGCTGAGCAGTTTGTTCTTGCGGACAGATCTTGATACTGAAGACTTGGGGAAGGACGCTACCCTGAGCACACGCAGAGACCGGTTTCGTTCAGAGTAGGTGTTTTGCGTGCTCCAAGAGGAAGGAAGAAGGAAGTCTAGATTTATAGACTGGATCCGTTTGTGCCTTGCTTTTGTTTTTAAATTAGGAGTAGGGTAGTAATCAGGAGGGTACGAGTGGCTAAGACCCCAGTGGAGGAGAGGATGGGACCGTATGGAGAGGCTCCGTAAGAGGGTCATAGAGGGGGCAATGGCGGGGGGAGAGAGAGTGAGTAGCAACTTAGGAGGTTTTCCAGATCATAGTTAGCATTCTTTTGTGAATATAACTATCTGTATATGACACTTTTAGTGACAGAATATTATTGCCTTAGTTGTTTGATTCATACCTTGTCTAGACCAGAGTTGCTTCTGAGTATCTAAACAATCGTCACTATTCTCTGTGTGTCCTTTGTCCCTCTGTCTGCCTTTCTCATACACAGATACAGAAATCTCATACTGTTTATGAGATTATCTGTATTCCAGATCCTTAATTATTTGACGGCAGAGTGATGTTTACTTTTTCTAGGTTTTTAACTAATTAAAATTGAGATATCTTTTTCCAAAGGGGAAAAACCTTCAAAATTTCTAATTCTGATTTTGTCCTTTTATGAATATATTTTATCCCTTTGTCTTGAAATGTATAATACAAATGTATTCATAATTCTACATAAAATTATATTGGGAAATCAGATTTATGGATATGTTCTTTTCATTTGATATTTAATAATGCCCTAAGGCATGTAATTCAAATTTTTATTAAAGTGAAGTTATTTGACAGTCAGCCTTTGAATTTAATGCATGAATGTTTCATTTAGGCTCTTGGAACTAAAGGGGGGTAAATTCCATGGTAGTTGTTCTCTTAAAAATGTTTAAAATAATTCAGATTTATTTCAGCAGTGCTTTCGGAAATAGCTTTAGTTTTGGAATTAAAGTGACAGGTTTT